GATAATTACTTGACACATTGGAAAGAATTAACTAAAAAACTGAGCAAACTAGAATGCTATTTGGCCCTAAACAGAGAGTACACAGTGGCAGAATACCTGACCATTGTGACTGACCCAAACTTAAGGAAAGCTTTGACTGTGTACAGACTCAGTGAGCATAGCTTTGCTATTGAGAAACGCCGCCGTAGGCAGACCTGGCTCTCAAGAGAAGACAGGCCATGTGCACACTGCCCACAAAATGAGGTGGAAACTGAGCTGCACTTCCTAACCTCCTGCCAAATGTATGACCATGTTATAGACACATATTTCCCTCAGATTACACAGACCCACAAAGAATTCTAAAACAAACCCAATTTTGATAAACTCCCATATCTACTGGGTGAAATATCACAGTGTGTCATCACAGAAGCAAGATTTGTGACCTATTGCCACAAGAAAAGGGCAACCAGTGAAGAACAAACACCATTGTAAATACAACCCATATTTTTGTTTATTTATTTTATTTGTGTACTTCAACTATTTGCACATAATATGACATTTTAAATGTCTTTATTCTTTTGGAACTTTTGTGAGTGTAATGTTTACTGTTATTTTTTATTGTTTATTTCACTTTTGTTTATTATAAACTTCACTTGCTTTGGCAATGTTAACATATGTTTCCCATGCCAATAAAGCTCTTAAATTGAATTTAATTGAATTGAGAGAGAGAGAGAGAGGAGAGGAGAGAGAGAGAGAGAGGAGAGAGGAGAGAGAGGAGAGAGAGAGAGAGAGAGAGGAGGAGAGAGAGAGAGGAGAGAGAGAGAGAGAGAGAGAGAGAGAGAGAGAGAGAGGAGAGAAAGAGAGAGAGAGACAGAGAGAGAGAGAGAGAAAAATGAGCTCCTACAAATATTGAAATATACATGATATTTAGAGTGAAGTACATTGGAAAAAACAAGACGAAACCTGCAAGACTGAATGGGAGACAAAACAAGCAACAAATAGGCTTGTGAAAAAGTATATATTTTTACAAAATTGTGCAGTTATCTTAGCTAGCTGGATTGTTAACCAGTTGCTAAGCAGTTGTTAGGGACTCTCCTAAAAGAAGCCTGCTAGCTAACAAAAAATAGCTAGTCAACAGCACAATAGAAAGACAAAAGAAGGACAGAAGACAAAGGACATCAAAGTAAAACAGTTCTCTGAAGACACTAGAGACAATAATACAAGAAACAACACTGTTTTGTAAAAAATCATCCACCCAGACAATCACCCACAACTACAATCCTTATTGATTCAAATGGGAAGTTCTTGGTCCAGGAAAGATTATTCCCTAGACACCAGGTGTATAAGTTCTGGTGTCCTACAACTGAGAGTGCAATGCAGCTACTCAGTCAGACCAGGATTGGTCCTCTGTAGCTCAATTGGTAGAGCATGGCGCTTGTAACGCCAGGGTAGTGGGTTCGATCCCCAGGACCACCCATACGTAAAAATGTATGCACACATGACTCTAAGTCGCTTTGAATAAAAGCGTCTGCTAAATGGCATATTATTATTATTATTGACACCCCTGACAACATCATCATCCACACTGGCACAAACGACCTTCGTGCCAAAGGTGAAAATGTATCTGGGGCAGTGAGAAGAGTGGAAAAACGGGCACAGGCTATGTTCCCAACAACCAATATAGTTGTGGCCATCCCTTCCTACCAAGAAAATACTTCCCAGGACAGTTGATCGACAAAATAAATCAACAGATCACTGTGGACTGTGCCTCACTGCTCAACATCAGAACGGCTCACCACCCCACTCTGACATGTGAACACATATACGATAATGTACATCTTGATCAGGACAGTGTCAGAACTTTTGCTAAGGACCTTAAGGACGCAACACATGGCAGGGACCCACACACCCATCATCCCAGCAGCAGAGGCCCCCCGCTCTACTTTCTGAAACAACAGTACCCCCACATCCCCAGGAGAGAAGAGCCAGACACGGCTTATTACAGCACAGCTCTACAAGACCGGGCCCAACACAGCACAGATTTACCAGACCAGACCCTCCTCAGGACAGCACGACCAGACCCGGCCCATCACAACACAGCTCTACTAGACCCAGCCCATCACAACACAGCTCTACTAGACCCGGCCCATCACAACACAGCACTGACCACTACTCTAGGGCCGGGCTGAACACTGTCCGTCAGAGAAGTGCACCACAAGATGCAGTCCACACCATGTATCATTCAGATCATCAGCCTACATATGTTGAGGTAACCTCTGGCAAAACACACCTAGAACTATCAGAGATAGGAGAGGTGCTCCAACTACTGCATCTAATATGCAGACTACTGGGCTAGACAGACCCTTTAATTCACACACACACACTCACACATACACACACACACACACACACACACACACACACACACACACACTCACACATACACACACACACACACACACACACACACACACACACACACACACACACACTCACACATACACACACTCACACATACACACACACACACACACACACACACACACACACACACACACACACACACACACACACTCACACATACACACACACACACACACACACACACACACACACCACACACACACACACTCACACATACACACACTCACACATACACACACACACACACACACACACACACACACACACACTATAAACACATACGTGCAAGGGGTTGCAGATTGCATTGCACTGCATTGTACTTATTGTTAGTGCAATCTTATTCCATTCTAATTGATTTGTTTACAACTATTCTTTATTTAATTGGCACTGGTATTATAATAATAATTATATATGTAATGATGTGTGTATGTATGTATGTATGTATGTATGTATGTATGTATGTATGTATGTATGTATATATATACAGTGGGGAAAAAAAGTATTTAGTCAGCCACCAATTGTGCAAGTTCTCCCACTTAAAAAGATGAGAGAGGCCTGTCATTTTCATCATAGGTACACGTCAACTATGACAGACAAATTGAGAAAAAAATCCAGAAAATCACATTGTAGGATTTTTAATGAATTTATTTGCAAATTATGGTGGAAAATAAGTATTTGGTCACCTACAAACAAGCAAGATTTCTGTCTCTCACAGACCTGTAACTTCTTCTTTAAGAGGCTCCTCTGTCCTCCACTCGTTACCTGTATTAATGGCACCTGTTTGAACTTGTTATCAGTATAAAAGACACCTGTCCACAACCTCAAACAGTCACACTCCAAACTCCACTATGGCCAAGACCAAAGAGCAGTCAAAGGACACCAGAAACAAAATTGTAGACCTGCACCAGGCTGGGAAGACTGAATCTGCAATAGGTAAGCAGCTTGGTTTGAATAAATCAACTGTGGGAGCAATTATTAGGAAATGGAAGACATACAAGACCACTGATAATCTCCCTCGATCTGGGGCTCCACGCAAGATCTCACCCCGTGGGGTCAAAATGATCACAAGAACGGTGAGCAAAAATCCCAGAACCACACGGGGGGACCTAGTGAATGACCTGCAGAGAGCTGGGACCAAAGTTACAAAGCCTACCATCAGTAACACACTACGCCGCCAGGGACTCAAATCCTGCAGGGCAAGACGTGTCCCCCTGCTTAAGCCAGTACATGTCCAGGCCCGTCTGAAGTTTGCTAGAGTGCATTTGGATGATCCAGAAGAGGATTGGGAGAATGTCATATGGTCAGATGAAACCAAAATATAACTTTTTGGTAAAAACTCAACTCGTCGTGTTTGGAGGACAAAGAATGCTGAGTTGCATCCAAAGAACACCATACCTACTGTGAAGCATGGGGGTGGAAACATCATGCTTTGGGGTTTTTCTGCAAAGGGACCAGGACAACTGATCCGTGTAAAGGAAAGAATGAATGGGGCCATGTATCGTGAGATTTTGAGTGAATACCTCCTTCCATCAGCAAGGGCATTGAAGATGAAACGTGGCTGGGTCTTTCAGCATGACAATGATCCCAAACACACCGCCCGGGCAACGAAGGAGTGGCTTCGTAAGAAGCATTTCAAGGTCCTGGAGTGGCCTAGCCAGTCTCCAGATCTCAACCCCATAGAAAATCTTTGGAGGGAGTTGAAAGTCCGTGTTGCCCAGCGACAGCCCTAAAACATCACTGCTCTAGAGGAGATCTGCATGGAGGAATGGGCCAAAATACCAGCAACAGTGTGTGAAGACTTACAGAAAACGTTTGACCTGTGTCATTGCCAAACAAAGGGTATATAACAAAGTATTGAGAAACTTTTATTATTGACCAAATACTTATTTCCACCATAATTTGCAAATAAATTCATTAAAAATCCTACAATGTGATTTTCTGGTTTTTTTTCCTCATTTGTCTGTCATAGTTTGACGTGTCCTATGATGAAAATTACAGGCCTCTCTCATCTTTTTAAGTGGGAGAACGTGCACAATTGGTGACTGACTAAATACTTTTTTTCCCCACTGTATACAGTATATATATATGTTTAGCTCATATCATATAATTTAAAAGTATGCATTAAGGTCTGTAATAGAATAAACGTGGCATAAACAAATATAAACATTTCAGTCATCTAGTGTATATATAAATCACTGGCTGCGCGGCTTGTCACCTCCCAGGAGAGCGGTACTTAGGAGAGAGGTGGGCAACGCGGCATTTTTTTGTTCACCTTTTTTTCGACGACCGTGTCCTTGAGAGTCTTAACATCCATAATCCAATGTGCCTTGTCATTGTCAAAGGGTTGGCTGGGTCATTGGAGGATTGCCTATTTTTGCTTCACACAGGAAGTGCAACTCTCCATCCAACTCTGCAAGTTTTGGCACTGAGTTTGGGGCCTTTGAGTAGTTACATGATTGGCCACATGGTGGCAGTACAGGAAAGGGAGTGAATGGGTGCATAGAAATTGTTTTTACGTTTTTAGATTGATCGTGCAGTGCATGCTTTATTCATAATCATAGCATGTATGAACCAAAAAAAGACCATCAGACCACTCATAATGCTATGACTCAGTTTATTATTTTGGATGAACTAATAACAATTATAGACGTAGAGCAGTATCATTTGCTATCGCACACTACTCAAACTAGCTTTAGAATTTATGTGATTGCACTGGAGAGATACGTTGACGTTGTTGTTCATATGGCGTTACGGGATCCATCGCTGATCTGTGTTCGATTATCTAGCCAGTGCCAGGCCCACCATGTTCTGGGCTCTGTAGAAGATGGAATAGTACTGTCTGATGAAGATGTCACCCAGGATCCACAGGTTGGAGTCACCAGATTGTAAACCGGTGCGGCAGCCATAGTAGGTGGACTGTACGGGTGGGCAGAGAGAGAGAGAGAGAGAGAGCGAGTCAAAACAATGTGACGGTGACTTCAGGGCTACGTAAGCTCTACACATACACATACCTGGCGGACATAGGTGGAAGCTGGGAGAGTGAAGGCTTGTCCGTGGATGTGGAAGACCATCGCTGGCATGTTGTTAACGTTGTTACAGTTCACCACATTCTGAAAAGAGAGAGAGACAAATAGAGGGATGAGAGGAGTGACTGTGTGAGTTGTGTTCTGGTTCTGTCAGTAGTGGTGGTGGAACAAATCATTGACATTATGCCTGGTTCTTTGTGACACACCACCAAAACAATATCATATGACTTACGTCTCCGTTAGCGGAGCTGGCTCCCACAGCACGGGCCATGCTGGAGATGGCATTCTGAGGTCCCACAATATTAGAGGTGCCGGTGTCCACAATAGCCTGGCAGCCGCCGTTACAGGCCACAATTTGGCCATTCACAGTCACACTGCAATGAACACACAGACAGTGGTGTAAAGTACTTAAGTAAAAATACTTTCAAGTACTACTTAAGTCATTTTTTGGGGGGGTATCTGTATTTTACTTTACTATTTATATTTTTGACTACTTTTACTTTTACTTCAGTACATTCCTAAAGAAAATAATTGTCACGCTCTGGCTCCGGGACTTTGTATGTTGAGCCAGGGTGTGTTCGTTTCTTTGTGTTCTGTTTCTTGGTTGGGTTGTTCTAGGTTGTTGTATTTCTTTGTTTGAGTGACTCCCAATCAGAGGTAACGAGTGTCAGCTGTTGGCTCGTTGTCTCTGATTGGGAGCCATATTTAAACTGTCTGTTTTCACCTTGTGTTTGTGGGTTTTTGTTCCTAGTCAGTCATTGTCACTGTGGACTTCACGAATCGTTATTTGTTTTGTTGTTTCGTGTTTCGCTTTAATTAAATAAAGCATCATGTTCGTGCAACACGCTGCGCTTTGGTCTACTCCTTTCCAAGACGTTCGTGACAATAATGCACTTTTTACTCCATACATTTTCCCTGACACCCAAAAGTACTCGTTACATTTCGACAGGAAAATGGTCCAATTCACGCACTAATCAAGAGAACATCCCTGGTCATCCCTACTGTCTCTGATCTGGCGGACTACCTAAACACAAATGCTTCATTTGTAAATTAATGTTGGAGTGTTGGAGTGTGCCCCTGGCTCTCCAATAACTAAATAAAAAAAAGTCTGGTTTGCATAATATAAGGAATTTGAAATTATTAATACTTTTACTTTTACATTTGATACTTAAGTATATTTTAGCAATTCCATTTACTTTTGATACTTAAGTATATTTAAAACCAAATACTTTGAGACTTTTACTTGAGTAGTATTTTAGTGGTGACTTTCACCTTTACTTGAGTAATTTTCTATTAAGGTTTCTTTACTTTTACTCAATAATGACATTTGAGTACTTTTTCCACCACTGCACACAGGTATACACAGATCAGACGGAGGAGGTGGCTGCTTGGGAGTTGTACTTAATCACTTAATCATAGGATTATATAACCCATTAATAACCATTTATAACCCTCTAAGAGGTTAGGTAACTGCAACAGTACCTGTCGACGGTGATCTGCCAGTACATCTGAGAGGACAGGGGGATCCAGGCGATCTGGCCTTCGTAGTGGTTGGGGTCAACGCCTCCGAAAGTCACCACGCTACCTACTGCAGAGTTACTGGAGATGGACAACAACAGAGAGTGAGGAGAAAGAGGGAGAGGGAGGGAGGGGAGACAGTTAGGGATATATATATATATATATAGAGAGAGAGAGAGAGAGAGAGGAGAGAGAGAGAGAGAGAGAGAGAGGAGTAGAAGAGGGAGGGAGAGGGAGAGGGAGAGGGAGAGGGAGAGGGAGAGGGAGAGGGAGAGGGAGAGAGAAGTTGTGTCAATGCATAGTTCCATGTTCGCCAAGCAATGAGGGTACGTGGGAGCCATGAGGCTCTGGTCAAAAGTAGTGCACTAGGGAATAGGGTGCCATTTCAGACACAGCCCTGGTTGACCTCCACTCTGAGCACTCACCGGCTCAGGTAGACAGAGAACATGTCCTGGTTGACGAGATGTTGGGTCATCATGTTGTCAAAGACTGGTGTGGCCTGAGAGGCTGCCAGGCGGGGATAGGCCAGACCCAGGATACCATCAGCCTTCATATGGGCCATGAAAGGAGCCTCCGATTGACTCAGCCCAAAGATCTGGTTCTTCACAGGGATCCCACCCACCTACAGAGGACCAGGAAGAGGAGGGCGAGGAGGAGAAGAAGAGGGGAGAGGAAAGAGGAAGAAAGAGGAGGAGGGAACAAGGAGGAGGGAAGAGGAGGAGGGAAGAAGGAGGAGGAAGAGGAGGAGGGAAGAAGGAGGAGGAAGAGGAGGATGGAACAAGGAGGAGGAAGAGGAGGATGGAACAAGGAGGAGGAAGAGGAGATTATTTGAGATAATACTGAAACCTACACAATGTTTCCAGTCCTGATGTTGTTGTGTTGAATTATGTTCCTTACCACAACAGTGTCGAAGCCCTCGAAGCCAGTCATACTGCCAGTGCCATATTGGATGGACAGGCTCTTTCCAGCATTCCTGAAGGTGGAGGACAAACTGGGGTTGAACCTGTTGTGGTTGGCTGGAAGGAGGGGAGACACGATTAGCCTGGGAGTGTGTGTGTGTGTGTGTGTGTGTGTGTGTGTGTGTGTGTGTGTGTGTGTGTGTGTGTGTGTGTGTGTGTGTGTATGTGTGTGTGTGTGTGTGTGTTTGTGCTTGTGCATGTGTTATATACCACAAGCTTGGCTGCTGCAGTAGATGGAGGGAATCCACAGGTTGGACGAGCCAGTGTCAAAGATGACAGTGAAGGACTGAGGGGGAGTTCCAATGGAGATCACTCCAAAGTAAGCCAGCTAGAGAAGAGAGAGAATCAAATGGTTATTTCCATAAATAAATACCTCCCCCTACCCTATGGCGTTACAAGAATTACTAGAATTAGACCAAAATACCTATGGGTCATCAGTTAAAGTTATCCTCGGTGGTTCAGAAATTAATTTAGGAAGAAGAGGCCAAAAGACGTGCTTCAGCCTTCTCTGTTGCCTTACGGAGTAGAAAGTGTGAAGTGCTATCCATTCTCATGCTTACGTCAGCGTCGTTGGTCATCTGCTCGTTGGAGACGTAGAGGCTCTGGTCATCAAACCTGGTGGGGTTGAAGGGATACTTCTTCCTGTACTCATCCCACAGACCCTGCTCCTCCAGGCTCTCCCTGGCACTCTTCCCCTTGATCAGCGGCACCCTGTGGGGGGAGGACAAAGTCTGGTTAGGCAAGCAGTTCAGTTCCAGCAAGTTTCTGGTTAAAGTTCCAAGACCTTCTGGTCAAACCATTGCAATAAACGTTATGGAAGCATAAGCTAAACAACTGTGTGCGACTATTCAAATGTTGGGTATTCTACCATTCACTGCCTTCTGAACTGTTGTGTAATGTAAAGGAGAATAGCAGGTGTAACGTACTGAATGATGCACTCGGAGAGTGTCACCATGGCACACAGAACGATAGCCCACTTCATGATGCGATGTCTGGTCTGCTCAGCTGTCACCTGTAGAACTAGTTCGTCTGTACAAAGATGAAATTCATCAATCAACCCATCAAATACAATGTATCACAGTTCATTTGAACAGCACTTGTCACAAGGTAGAAAACCAAGCAAGGCAGAGACCTTGAGAGGAACCAGACCCACCTGTCGATGTCTGTGGCTGAGTGATCTGAGACATGTAGGTGGTGTCTTATATACAGGCGGTCCAGAGTTCTAACTCTGCATTTCTTTATCACAACGATAAGAGCGTTTCCACCTGCCATGATAAGTAATGGTGAAATAATGGACGACCTCGAGACAATGTCAATCTGACGATTACCTAGGAAAGGTATATTGGTTCCAATGGCTGCTTTACAGTAATGTTTACGTAGTGTTGAAAAGTGCTTAGCATAATCATATCCAGTTCTAATCATATAATGGCTAACCTGCCAGACTTCTCTCTATGAGATGAGATGACTTGTGCTGACTAAGTGATATAAAGTAAAGGTCCCCACTTGTAGATAACCTCCTATCAGCACACTTTTCCCTTCAACAGTTTACTTTTGGATTAGGTAGCCTTATTCAGGCTACTGTACCTCTGTTTGGATATAATGCCTATCTGCCAGGGATTATTTCATTTAAAAAAAGTTTATGTGGACATTCACAATGTAAACAAATATCTTGCTGATTATTTAATGCTGCGTGTAATTATTTGTTACAGCTAAAAAAAATAGAAAGGACATTCAACACTAAACACAATGTTACTTCTGGGCCATGGTCCTTTGAGATTACAAAATGAATCCTGTATTTAAATATTTTTTATACAATAGATATACAAGAAGAAAAAGGTAAACAACCCCAGCATTCGTATGTAGAATATCTAATGCAGAAGAACTAGTAAATTGGTAAACAACCCCAGCATACGTATGTAGAATATCTAATGCAGAAGAACTAGTAAATTGGTAAACAACCCCAGCATACGTATGTAGAATATATAATGCAGAAGAACTAGTAAATTGGTAAACAACCCCAGCATTCATATGTAGAATATCTAATGCAGAAGAACTAGTAAATTGGTTATCCGACTGGCTATAAGGTGAATGCACCAATTTGTAAGTCGCTCTGGATAAGAGCGTCTGCTAAATGACGTAAATGTAATGTAAATGTAAATGTAAACAACCCCAGCATTCATATGTAGAATATCTAATGCAGAAGAACTAGTAAATTGGTAAACAACCCCAGCATACGTATGTAGAATATCTAATGCAGAAGAACTAGTAAATTGGTAAACAACCCCAGCATTCGTATGTAGAATATCTAATGCAGAAGGACTAGTAAATAGGTAAACAACAGTGGGAAAACTTGTCTCTTGAAGTATAGTATGCACTTCATAGCTTAGTGGAACCTTAGAGGTTCATACACTGTAGAGGGAATATAGTAGACGGTTGCTGTCAAAAAGTGATTGATGAGTTTTGCTGTGTCCTGTGTTTGACCCTGTTAATGACATCCTGTCCAGATGTTCTCACGATATTGAGTGTGTGCTTATGTAACTTGATAGTGCTGCTGTTCCTTTGAAATAGAACACCTGTTTGAAATAAAAAGTAATGGCCTGATGATTGATGTGTCGCGTAGTGACCTTTTTTAACTTAAAGAAAATGTGTTTGAACATTTGAAACAGTTGGACATTTTTGTAGTGAATGGAGAGGCCTGAGTTTAAAGTGTTTGAAGAGTTGAAACAGTTGGTACTTTTTGTAGTGAACTTATGGAGCTGCTGTGTAGTGAGATGGTGACCCTACGAGTGAGAAGAAACCTCAAGAGAGATAAACCACAGAAAACTCTACAGAAAATATGGAGTTGTTACGTACTGACCCGTGATGCCTTAACATCGGAAGTAGGACCCAGGCTATATCATAGAGAAAGGGATGAGTAGAAATCATCAATATATGATGCTCCAAAAAATAGTTTTCTACATTTGTATAGAACCCAAATACCACCCGTAACTGTACTGAAAGATCAAACGGTTACGTCTAATGGAGAACTATGGGGGTATACAGTGAGGGAAAAAGGTATTTGATCCCCTGCTGATTTTGTACGTTTGCCCACTGACAAAGACATGATCAGTCTATAATTTTAATGGTAGGTTTATTTGAACAGTGAGAGACAGAATAACAACAAAAAAATACAGAAAAACGTATGTCAAAAATGTTATAAATTTATCTGCATTTTAATGAGGGAAATGGGTATTTGACCCCTCTGCAAAACATGACTTAATACTTGGTGGCAAAACCCTTGTTGGCAATCACAGAGGTCAGACGTTTCTAGTAGTTGGACACCAGGTTTGCACACATCTCAGGAGGGATTTTGTTTCCACTCCTCTTTGCAGATCTTCTCCAAGTCATTAAGGTTTCGAGGCTGGCGTTTGGCAACTTGAACCTTCAGCTCCCTCCACAGATTTTCTATGGGATTAAAATCTGGAGACGTACCAGTTTTACTAGCGTTTAAGAGCAGTTGGAGGCCATGGAAGGAGTGTTGTATGGCATTGAAGCTCGTTTGTAGGTTTGTTAACAGTGTCCAATGAAGGGCCAGATGTATACAAAATGGTGTCGTCTGCGTAGAGGTGGATCTGAAAGTCACCAGCAGCAAGAGCAACATCATTGATATACACAGAGAATAGAGTCGGCCCGAGAATTGCACCCTGTGGCACCCCCATAGAGACTGCCAGAGGTCCAGACAACAGACCCTCCGATTTGACACATTGAACTATCTGAGAAGTAGTTGGTGAACCAGGCGAGGCAGTCATTTGAGAAACCAAGGCTATTTAGTCTCCCAATAAGAATGCGGTGATTGACAGAGTCAAAAGCCTTGGCCAGGTCGATGATGACGGCTGCACAGTCCTGTCTTTTATCAATCGCGGTTATTATATCGTTTAGGACCTTGAGCGTGGCTGAGGTGCACCCATGACCAGCTCGGAAACCAGATTGCATAGCGGAGAAGGTACGGTGTGATTCAAAATGGTCGGTGATCTGTTTGTTAACTTGGCTTTCAAATACTTTCAAAAGGCAGGGCAGGATGGATATAGGTCTGTAACCGTTTGGATCTAGAGTGTCACCCCCTTTGAAGAGGTGGATGACCGAGGCAGCTTTCCAATCTCTGGGAATCTCAGACGATACGAAAGAGAGGTTGAACAGGCTAGTAATAGGAGTTGAGACAATTTTGGCGGCTAAATTTTAGAAAGAAAGGGTCCAGATTGTCTAGCCCAGCTGATTTGTAGGGGTCCAGATTTTGCAGCTCTTTCAGGACATCAGCTATCTGAATTTGGGTGGGGGGCATGGGCAAGTTGCAGCGGAGGGTGCAGAGCTGGTGGCCGGGGTAGGGGTGGCCAGGTGGAAAGCATGACCAGCCGTAGCAAAATGCTTGTTGAAATTCTCGATTATCGTAGATTTATTGGTGGTGACAGTGTTTCCTAGCCTCACTGCAGTGGGTAGCTGGGAGGAGGTGCTCTTATTCTCCATGGACTTTACAGTGTCCCAAAACTTTTTGGAGTTAGTGCTACAGGATGCAAATTTCTGTTGGTTGAGGTCGGGGGATTGTGGAGGCCAGGTCATCTGATGCAGCACTCCATCACTCTCCTTCTTGGTAAAATAGCCCTTACACAGCTTGGAGGTGTGTTGGGTCATTGTCCTGTTGAAAAACAAATGATAGTCCCACTGAGCCCAAACCAGATGGGATGGCGTATTGCTGCAGAATGCTGTGGTAGCCATGCTGGTTAAGTGTGCCTTGAATTCTAAATAAATCACAGACAGTGTCACCAACAACGCACCCCCACACAATAACACCTCCACCTCCATGCTTTACGGTAGGAAATACACATGCAGAGATCATCCGTTCACGCACACCGCGTCTCACAAAGACACGGCAGTTGGAACCAAAAATCTCAAATTTGGACTCCAGACCAAAGGACAAATTTCCACCGGTCTAATGTCCATTGCTCGTGTTTCTTGGCCCAAGCAATTCTCTTCTCCTTATTGGTGTCCTTTAGTAGTGGTTTCTTTGCAGCAATTCGACCATGAAGGCCTGATTCACACAGTCTCCTCTGAACAGTTGATGTTGTATTGTGTCTGTTACTTGAACTCTGTGAAACATTTATTTGGGCTGCAATTTCTGAGGCTGGTAACTCTAATGAACTTATCCTCTGCAGCAGAGGTAACTCTGGGTCTTCCATTACTGTGGCGGTCCTCATGAGAGCCAGTTTAATCATAGCGCTTGATGGTTTTTGCGACTGCACTTGAAGAAACTTTCAAAGTTCTTGACTGACATTCATGTCTTAAAGTAATTATGGACTGTTGTTTCTCTTTGCTTATTTGAGCTGTTCTTGACATAATATGGACTTAGTCTTTTACCTATCTTCTGTATACCCCCCCCCCCCCCCCCCCCCCCACCTTGACAAAACACAACTGATTGGCTCAAACGCATTAAGAAGGAAAGAAATTCCACAAATTAACTTTTAAGAAGGCACACCTGTTAATTGAAATGCATTCCAGGTAACTACATCATGAAGCTGGTTGAGAGAATGCCAAGAGTGTGCAAAGTTGTCATCAAGGCAGGGTGGCTATTTGAAGAATCTGTTTAACGCTTTTTTTGTTACTACATGATTCCATATGTGTTGTTTCATAGTTTTGATGTCTTCACTATTATTCTACAATGTAGGAAATAGTAAAAATAAAGAAAGAACCTTGAATGAGTAGGTGTTGTAAAACTTTTGACCCGTAGTGTACATGCAGGGTTTGACAACATGTTTGTGCATACCGACATCATATCCTATCAAAGGGTAGGAGACCGTTATGTACCCCTCCTGCGAACAGTTCATATAGATGTCAAGGATGAGGATGTAGTCAGTGTTAACTATGACAAGCCACACTATGTACCTGTAAGCAAGAAATATATGGAAAATATATATATTTAAAACGGATCAGAACCAAAATATTGTGTTTACTTACGGTAAAGTGATTGTAAAACTCCACTTTAGACCTGTCAAAGCTTCTCTACATCTCTAACTATAAATAAATAATAAATACATATATTACATATAATCATTGGTTATGGTACACAACCACCATCTCGATCCTAACCACTATGTATAATACTATGTTGATCAAGTGGGTAATGGATTACCCGGTTATTATGGAACCCTGACCATGTATGGTTCAGG